TTCAAGAAATCAGACTGAAGTATGTGCTGCTGATGGATATTTTTAGGTTCTCTTTGCTTGGAAAAACTCTTCAATGCCCATAAAACTCTAATAAGAAAGTAAAAAACTGAATGCTGGCTCAATATAAATATTTATTCAATGTTAGAATCATTTATGAGAGTTTACCAACTGTATAAATTATTTAGACAAAAATGTCCCCCTTCTTTTATTGGCTCAAGAGCGGCTTGTGTCCAAAGAATTAGATATATTCAAGACACCAAATGCACTTTTTCATTGCATTTGAAAACTATAAAATACACCATTACAGCAGAGAGCCAGCCTTTCTACTTTCTTCTATATTCTCTGTATTTAGCAAAATCTACAAAACGAAGCATTTTTGTGAGGATTAACAAAAATGATCTCCAATCATTGAAACTTTGATAGTGGAATCATGCCTCAGTTTAGCAATAAATTCCAATCTAAATAATATAAACATGGATTAAAACAGTAAAGATCCCAGTAAACTAACATAACAGCAACTTGTGAAATTTGCATTCACTACCATGAAAATCAGGATTATATAAAAGATTATTGTCCACTGATTGAGCATCGATATTGCTCTAATCCACATGGGAGTCTTCCATGGATTTCAGCGGATTTTCAACCATGCCCTAGATTCATGATAAAGGAAATAATCCAACTAATATATTACATCATCATCAACCTCCAAATGAAGCATAAATCAGAAGTTAATGAATATAGATATTTAAAATTTCATCCTTGACCTTTTGTTCCTGATACTACATCTTTACCCGTAATTGGTTGATTGCTTGCTTCCATAACTGTATGCACCAATTTGGAATGCTTACTTGTTAACTCTTCTTTCCTGTCTATCTAAAACTGTAGCCAAAAATCAACTCTCCCTCTTCGGTTCCCTTAAGCAGCTTACTTTCTTTTGCTGTATCAAATTGAAGCTCCTCATCCTCACTCAAAGCTCTGCACCACTGACATGTCCTACTTTCCATTGGGCTTTGTCCTCAAAGATCCTTTCATCTCCTTCACAAACCTTATGGTTTTAATAGAATCCCTTATGTATGCAACAATCTACCACTTGTTCCTTCCAATCCCTCTTTAAGTTTGCTTCATCTTAATCAAGAACATTAATCTGTACTCTAGCATCATCTGTATCCACTGTTCTATCTGATTTTCCATCTCTATTGTGTGAATTAAAATGTAAGCCTCTTGCAAAAGTCTGTTGTGTTACCTTAAGTGTTTTTAAAGCTTGTAGTGACATTATGGATGCATTTGAAATGGTTACATTTGAGATGAGGCCATGCTTTTTCAGTTGATCATCAAATTTTTCATGCTTTTTCTCAGTTCGAAGGTGATTTTTATCATATTTCAATGCAGTCATTTCAACCACTGGATGAGAAGGCCCATCCAATTTTAATTTCTGCGACTGCATTCCTCAAAAATAACTGAAGCCAGGAACTTCGAACATTTTTGAGTCCTCCATGAAGAAGAAGATTAAGGTTTATAAAACCATGAAAGTTTTATACCACTTTTGTCCCTTCATATACAATTTTTAATAACATTTATCTTTGTTATATAATTTGTAAAATAAAATATACAGCTTAGTCAATGTAAGTGAAAATCCTGAAATAAGGAGTGCTCAATTTCACAAAATCAATACTGCATTAACAGATTGTACTTTTGGGGATCTGGAGTTTCTGACCTCTCCCGGTCACAAACAGAACATGTAAAAAATTGTGTATCTAAAGGATTTGCCAGAAACCAGGTCTGCCCCATATAAATGCACCAAAAGCAGCATCTTTATTATTTCCCACCCAGCTCATTGATAGCTTAGCTTTTGTCTCTTGCTGCTGACCTTGTGAAATTTAGCACTACAGAAAAAATCATCCATTCTCTGTCTCAGTCCTGGCTCTTGTGGAAACTCCTTCCTGGATTTAATTTAAAAAGGAAGACCAGAACTTCAGAAGATGATAAACCATGTTCAATCTCTGTCTTGTTCTCCCTCATACCTATGGAGATCCATATGTGGCTCTGTAAATTCAATCTAAATGTGAAATATTACTGGATTCTGATGTAGAACAGTTATGTTTTGTTTTAATGAACATGAAGTAACATTTTATATGGCTATCCTGAGCTAGCTCCTGTTTTGGTACTTTTGTCTGCTCGTTTTAATATATATTTAACTTAAGTGAATGTGATTTCTGGGCAGTGATAGCTTGTAAAAAACAGATTGGAAATTTAACAACATAACTACAAAGAGAATTTGAAATTGACAATAAATCACAATCACTAATCTAGATTCCCCTGTTTACACTTCAAGTTAGAAGCATCCATGTTTTGATGAACAAACTAGATAATTCTTGACAATATCAAATGTTTGCTTCAAACGCTATACATGGAACTGAGAAAACTCTTAAGTTGGAAAATGAAACTACAGGAGATGTGTTCGGTGCTTAGTTGTCTTCAGCGGCTTAAGATATGAGCTTTTCTTAAAACTTGGAGACCAGCATTGGAATGATATGCTTGTGAGAAGCAGGAAGGCTCCTATCCAGGAGAATTGATTATACCTGAATAAATGGAATGATCTCAGGTAAAAAAAAATATAAATATTTTAATGTAGAACTGTACCTGAATTTCAGGGGGGCAAGCCAGAGTTCTGTGTTTCACAGGAGACACACCAAGATCTGCCTTGCGGTGTGTGTTGGTGGTTCTGCAGATACCTTCACATATTTAACAATGGCAACTTCTGCTCACCCCTTGCTTGTCTTCTACCCAACATGGTGGAAAACATGGAACAAGTGACCAGTGAAGATGTTCTGTTCCTGCTCCTTGTTTTCACACTGAAGTACATGACTGGTGAGAATTTTGGACATTTCTTATAAGCCAAAGATGGGTGACCAGGATGGCAATTGATCCAATGTTACTGCATGATACAGAGACATAAGATATTGCTAACACTGTAATTATATGACCATGGATGGACTGGTTCTTCTCTGGCTCAGTCCTGGTTCTTATGGAGACTCCTTTCTGGATTTCATTTAAAAGAGAGGACCAGAACTTCAGAGGACCAGACAACCAGCATGGTGTGGTGAGATCACTTTATCTTGGAAACCTGGCCAGCGGCTTCAGAATGAGGAAGCAGATGTTCATGGAGCTCTGTGAGGACGTAGCTTCAACCCCAAAGCAGCAGAACATTCCCTTCCAGAGACACATACCAGTGCAAAAACAAGTGCCTATTATCATCTGGAAGCTGGCAATGCCAGACAGCTACCAGTCAACTGCAAACCACTTTGGGGTGCAGAAGTCCACTGCTGGGGTTTTGGGGCAAGTTTGTGAAGCTATCAATGCACTCATCTGCCAAGTCCAAAATTCTGGAAAATATAGCTGGGGTCCCAAATTCCATAGGGGCCACTAATGGCACTCACATAAGCCATACTTTAGCCACTGAGGAGCATGAGTGAGGCCATTAGTCAAAAAGGATACTACTCATTCTTTCTTCAATGTTTTGTGGAACACATGGCAGGTTTATGAACACTGGACACACAGGAAAGGTTCATAAAACCAGGAGGTTGAAGAGATCAGAAATGTACTTAATAAGGGATAATAAACTTTATTCACCAGAAAAAAGCATGGTTCTGTACAATGTGCTTTATCCATTCTCAGCACTAAGCTGGAGTACAGTGAATACCTACCTATATCAGACTTTCTGAAACTTCCTGGTTCAGTTCTGACGGAGCCATGTAGATTTGTTGTTTTGGCAAAGGCAAATGAAGCCGCGATTTAAATGATCGCGGCTTCATTTAAATTTACATGGCTGCTGCGCTGAGCCAACAAACAGCTTATCAGCTGTTTGTCCGCTCAGCGCGCTAGTCTGGACGCTCCCCCACCGACATCAAAGCCCTTTGTCGGCAGCCCCGTTATTCCTCGTGGGATGAGGTTTACCCGGACAAACAGCTGATCAGCTGTTTGTCGGCTCAGCACGGCAGCCATGTAAATTTAAATGAAGCCGCGATCATTTAAATCACGGCTTCATTTGCCTTTGCCTATGTGTCTAATCTACATGCCTCTGACGACAGAGGCATGTAGTCTAGACACAGCCTCAGTCACACAGCTCATTACTGTCAATGAGAACAGCTGGGACACAGACCTTATATTATTGGGTGAAGGTCAGGAAGGAAAGGGTTTGGGAGTGTTGTGGGAACTAGACTTGAGGACTCAGTACCTAGCACATGCAAGTTATTCTCATCAATAATACAAACTGGCACTGAGGTACAGAGCCATGCCACAGCCTGAAGTATGTTCACATCGATGCCCCTTAGAATTGCTAATGTTCTTGCTCTGTATACACTCTGAAAACCTTTGCTTCTGGGGTTTAGATGTGGTTGGTATGGAGGGTAAGAAGGCTCTGACATAGCCATCTGCTTGGACCTGTGTGCAGTCAACAGTGTAGATATAGTGGTGGCGTTGCATAGGTGTTAAACCCAGACAATAGTGAGCCAAGAAAAAGAAAGTAAAAATAGAATGAAGTATATACATTGTGGGGTTAGGGTATAGGTGTTACATCTGCTAAACTTCACTATGGCCTTGATCTTGATGGGCAAAAATAATCTGTTTTTTAATAATATTAAGCTAATTAAATTAGCCCCCATCCCCCAGGTTACAACACAGCCAGCCAACATGGCCTCAAATGTGTCAGTTTTACAACTTAACTTTTTAATATCTTTTTAATCATATTAACTTACTACTATGCTAACTTGATTGAATAGCCCACTCTATTTTGCAAATCAAGACATATCCAAAAACAGGACAAATGATTTGGGATATGAAAGTCATACTGGTAAACAACATCTTTAAACTTGATAGTGAAAGAACGAGAACTTGGCATTTGATATCTGAAGTCATTTACCTCTCACCTCTAGTAGAAAACCAAAACCAAAACCAAAAAAGATAACCTCAGTTCCACAGAATTAACTTTTATCGCCACTTACCATCAAATTCCGCAAGCTTTCTCATATCTGCTCCAAGTTCTGAAGTAACTGGTAAAGCCTGACGTACTTTTAGGTTTGTCTCACTGTAAAATTAATAACATGACCTTTATACAACACGTTTTCCAAACCTTCCCCCTTGCTCTGCCTTCTCTTATCCCCTGGGACCTATATTTGGTACCATAGACTCTGACTTTGTGGATTAATACAGCACATTTATAGAAAGACAAAAATTCAGACTCTTTAATGTTATTCTGAAAGAACACATTTTAATTTCTGTAACTGATTCTTAAAGTATGAGGAGGACCTTCAGTTTTAATAAGTGCTGGCATCATAATGAATGCACATCTGTATCACTATAATTTGTTTTGCTTCTTTCAGCAGAGGACATAACAAATATGATTTAGTCAGAGCCCATCCAGGCATCATGCACAAATTGCCATTTGAAAAAGATTAACACCATGACAAAGATGGATATTTATGCTACAAAAAAAGGTTCTCATGAAAATGTAATAAACCCTAACCTTACAGTAGCTGAAATTGAACTGGGAAAAAAGGGCATCGGAGTCACTCTTGCTTAGGAGGTAATTTGACAGGGCTCTCTTTGTGTGCATTTACACTGCACCAGTAGCTCGAAATAAGCTACACAATTGTGTAGCTTATTTCAATCTTATTTCGAAATAGCTTGTTTCAAAATTTGGCAGTCTACACAGCACCAAATTAAAAAATAACCTAAACGTCCCTTACTCCTCATGGAATGAGGTTTATAGGGACGTCAGAATAGCAAGCCCATTATATTTTGAAAGACGTGGAATAGCTATTTCGGGATACCTACAGTATCCCAAAATAGTGCCGCAGTGGAGATGTAGCCTTTATGGCTAAATATTGATTTACTTATAGGATCCAAAATTTTCCAAACTTCAGCACCTAAAGGCACCCAAGGAAGTGGCCTGATTTGCAGCTGTCACTGACTGAACATTGAACTAGTCTCTTCTAGAAAATAGGGAGATCGCCTGGAAAAGGCCTTTCTCAGAGTCCTAGATATTCCAAATAAAATTTTGATGTGTTCTCCACTGCTGCCCTTTAACTAATGTTAAAGATCACATACTTTTCTAGAAACATCTCCTAAGAGAACACATATGCATATGGTTGTTAGAAGATATTAGAATATGAAATAATAATAAAATCAAAACAAATTAATGCCTCAATTTTTAGTTCAAGTTAAACTATAGCGATATTAAATTAGTACTTACAAATTTACAAGTATGTAAACCAGTGATATCAGTCATTCACTCATATGTATATATTTCTTCCTTCAAGTATACATATTACTTCTTTCAAGTTAGAAAATTAATTTTTCTCAAGAGGTGAAGTCTAATCTGGATACCAAGGAAACTATTCCCAGAACTATCTCCTGGTATTCAGAAACTCAGTACAGGCAGTCCCCGGGTTACGTACAAGATAGGGACTATTGGTTTGCTCTTAAGTTGAATTTGTATGTAAGTCGGAACTGGCTCCAGATTCAGCCGCTGCTGAAACTGATCAGCGGCTGACTACAGGAAGCCCGAGGCAGAGTTTCTCTGCCCCCGGCTTCCTGGAATCAGCTGCTGATCAGTTTCAACAGCAGCTGAATCTGGGCGCCTGGGACAGAGCAGCTGGGGCACTGCCGGGTAGGTCTCCGCAGCGCCGCACCTCAGCGCTGTGGGGACCAACCCGGCAGCACCCCAGGTGTTCTACCCCAGGTGTCCCCAAGTCAGCTGCTGCTG